GCACAACATCGTGAGTTGGGTTCCCGGTACTGGAGAAAAACCAAAAAAAAAAAAAAAAAAAAAAAAAAAAAAAAAAAAAAAAAAAAAGAGCAAAGGAAATTACTAGACTCAGCAGGCTAATTACATGATGATAAAAGTGTCTACTCAGCAAAAAGACCTAGTGACCCTAAGATAAATACATGAAAAAACAAAGCTGCAAAGCATGTTAAGCTACCACTGATAGAACTGAAAAGAAATATGCAAACTCATTATAGTTGGATACTTCAAGAACAATGATCATACTAGGGATATAGTTCAGTGGCTCAGAGCTTGCCTGGAAAGTGTGAGGTATTGAGTTCGATTCCCAGTACCAAAAAAAAGGGAACAGTGATAATAACAACCAGACCGAAAATCCTCAAGGATATAGAAGAACTCAACACCAACTAAAAGGATCTACTTAATACTTATAGAACATTTAACAGTAGGGTGTCACAGAAGAATACCCAACAACAGAAGCATATTGCTATTTTTAAAGTGCTCACAAACATACAAGACAGATAACACCTGAGTCATAAAACAAATCTGCTAAGATTAAGGGAATAGCAACCATTCAGAATGTACTCTCCAACTATTTATAGAATAAAACTCTCCAACTATTATAGGAATCAATAATGGAAAGATAACAGGAAAATCTCTAAATACTTGAAATAAATCAACTAGCTCTATACATAATAAAGAAATTGAATTAATAATTTAAAAATGACCTCCCAAAAAATCCAGTCTCTCTACTACAGAATTCTATTAAGCATGCAAAGGAAAATCAACACCAATTCTACCTGCTGTCAGAAAAAAAAGGAGAAGGAATCACTTCTTAATTCATTTCTAAAGCTAGTATCATGTTGATTCCGCCAAAAGAAGAAAGTTTTATCTTAAAATAAAACAAACTACAGACTGAGAAGAAAATATTTGTGAGCCCACATATTGGACAAATGACTGGTATCTGTATTATATAAATAATGTCAAAATGTAAACATAAAGGAAAAAGAAACACTTGATACCAGAGGCATAGGCAAGATTTCTTGATGAGGGCCCCAATAGCATAGGAAATAAAGCAAGAATCAACGTATGGGGCGACATCAAATTTATATAGTCAAGGAAATAACCAATAAAATGAAAGGACACCATACAGAAAGGACAACATAGAAAATCTTTGCTAGCTCTTCTGACAAAGGATTAATATCTAGAGTACATAAAGAACTACCTCCTCCCAAATAGCACAGTCATTAAATGAGGAAGTGAACACGGAATTTTCAAAAGAAATAGTATAGTTGGTCAATAAATATATGAAAAAATGTTCAATATCCTTAGTCATAGGGAATTAAAAGTCAAAACTGCATTGAGATTCCATCTTACTTTGGTCAGAATGGCTATTATCAAGAATGTAAAAATAGCCAGGCATGGAGGCACATGCCCATAATCCCAGCACCCTGGGAGACCGAGGCAGGAGGATAGCATTTGAGCCCAGCTTGGCCATTTAATGACTTAATAATACCCTATCTTAAAATACAATGTACTCAATTTGAATGTTCATATATCAAGAATTTAAGCTCTACTTACTTCTGTGTGTTGCTCTTATATCCAACCACCGTACTAAACGCGTACACAATTTTTATTTTAAACATCAAATTGATGGGTTTTCGCCCATACAAAATTCTGCCAAGCCATCATGGCGGCGATAGCGCATGGCGTGGAGGCCCAGAAAGACAACGTGTCCCATCAAAACTGGCTTCCGCCTTCTTCCTCCCCCACCTGACCACAACTTCCCGTTTTCTTTTGCACCGTGCGTGTCCACCCTTTCCAGCTGGTGCCTGTAATGTCATCTAAACCGCCCAGATATACTCCACCCTAACCCTAGCCAATGTGTGTTTTTTTCCCGGCTTCCTCCCTCAGAGGGTCCTTGCTTCTCCTGGCTGCCCTCCTGTGCCGGGAAATAAAGGCTTTCTTTATCTTTATTCTGTCTCTCATTTGCACCAAACCTAACACAAATGTAAGGAATATTTTAGATAGCCAATTATTTTTCTAAAAGTGGGATGATTAAAACTAATTTTTCCGGAAAAAAAACCTAATTTCTCAAAAAAAGTTTTGAATATTTATTGCATATTCACAGACTAGAACACAGAGCATTAGATTTTGAGGTTCTAATGCTTTCTAGATATTTAACACACAATCTAATCACCTTGGGGTTCTATTTTCGCTTCTTTACAAATAAGTGGTCATTTTTGACATTCCTTTCCAAGAATAATACCTCCTTTCTTTTTTCTCAACTCATGGAATTATTTACAAATTCTGTAATGTCGGACTTCTCCTCCAACTCTGTCCAGGGTGAGCAGATCCCCTGAACTAGGTGCCCGCAGATGTATAAGAAAAGTAAGAAAAACATCAAACCACAAGAGCCAAAATTCTGTGATCAGGTGCTAGTAGCCTCTAGGATTGACTGCTCCCAAATACCAAATTCAGTCACCTTTTATTGAGCAAGACCAAGGACTTGGCTAGGACAAATGGGCAGATACCAAACATTTTAGCAAGAATAATTAAAGGATCACCCAAGACATGCCTATAATCCTAGCATTCAGGAGGCTGAGACAGGAGGATCTTAAACTCAAGGTTAATCCAGAATGTACAATAAAGCCTTATCTTAGAAACTCTAACAAACAAATCATTGTGTACTCAATACATTCTAATCAAATAATGCCCTTCTTCACACTGTAACAGTTGAAAATACATTTCATGGTAGTACAGATTCCTTTTTTTTTCTGATTCACTGACATGGAAGTTATTCTAACATTTTGTAATCAAGTGTGCTAGTTGCTTTTAGGTTCTGCTAGGTATCCTTAACCAAGTTAAGAGAAGTTTCCTGTATTTGAAGCTTGCTTAATTTTTTTTCTACAGTGCATGTTAAATTTTCTACCAAAAATTTTCAGTGTCTCCTGATGAGATAATGCCTTTTCTTCTTTAATTCATTGTTATTCTTGAGCATCTGTTTTTGAATTTACAGACAGGGCTGGGGGTATAGCTCAGCAGCATAAGTGCATGCCTGGCAGGCGCAAGGTCTGGAGTTTAGTTCCTGGCACCCGTCCCCTCCAAAAAAAAGAGTAAGAATTTACAGACAATACATATTTTTCTCTTCTGAGAAATGTTGATGTTTTGTTCATTTTCCAGTTGAGGTATTTGTATTTTTTTAGAGGTTTATACAATTTCTTTATTTTTTCGTATGAATTCTTTGTTATGTGTGTTACATGTCTTCTCCCAGTTGGTAACTTGTTATTGTGCTTTCTTTAAGGCATTTCTGGTGAACAGAAGTTCAACCCAAATTCTTTCAGTGTGGCTTTATGGGTGCTGAAACTTCTAAAATCATATACATACATATGTGTATATATATATGAAAATATTTGTATGGAAATTTTACTTTTGTCCCACATTTGCAACTATGTAATTCTATAATGAAAAGATCATTTGTTTTAGTATTTAAAAATAAAAAATCATTCTCTTTATGCATCTTGTCTGTTTTATTAAAAAGACTGATGAAAATTTGCTTCTTATTCTCTTGAAGATGATCTGCTTCTTCTCTCTCTGGAAGGCAGCGATCACCTTATTAGAACTAGGTATTCTCTAGATCATTGGTTTGCAAAGTCAGACCTCTGGATCAGCAGCATCAGCATCAGCATCCTATAGGATCCATTAGAAATGCAAATTCTGGTATTGAAAGTTTTTAAGATGCGGCATTGAGGGCAGGGAAGCCTGAGGATGCGTGCCATCAATCTGATTTTCCCCAGACCTCTTTAACAAATCTGATGCATGCAAACATTTAGAACTACTTTCCTAGATCCTAGCTACATGGTACCCAATAGGTCGGCCCTATTAGCCACACACATGTGTCAATTTTATATGATGCTTGATTATGATTACACTTTAATAAGTGATATTTTCAGTAGAAGTGATGAAAACTTCCTCATGCCTTATTTTATTAAAATTGTTTGCAAAATACTGCAATGGAAAAGTCTTCTAAAATATGTTAAAGTATGATGCATATTATTTTAGATACTTTTGTTAACTGTTAGAGATTTAGAACTTTGCCACAGTATATTAAATTTTTATTTTTATTTCCCCCCTTTGGTCTTATTTGATAGGCTTTGCCAGAAACAGCTGGAATGCAAACAGAACAGCAGTTATTAAATATATCTGGAAAGATTGAGTGTGAAGGACCTAATCGTCATTTCAGTTGCTTCACTGGAACCTTGCATATAACTGATAGAAGGTACATCTATGTTTTCTCAAATACTTTTCTTTCTCTTATGGAACATAGAATGTGGCAGCTTTTGCTCTGTCAACTAGCATTTTAAAGCATCTTATTTGTTCATATTTTTCTTTGCTTCCAAATACCCCCATGTACTTGTGTAATTGTTTACAAAAAGAATGCTTAAATATAGTGGAAAATGTATGTTGTTTTCTTAATCAGTACTTCTGTGCATCAGTTAGCTTTACATAGCTATAATGAAATAGCTGAGGCAGTTAACTTATAATGAGAAAAGGTTTATTGTGGTTCACAGTATTGGAGGTTCCAGTCAGAGGCTGGGAGGCCCCATCACTTTGGGCCTTTGATGAAGATGGCACAATATGTTGCAGTGCGTGACATAGTAAACTTACATCATAAATAAGGAAACAGAGTGGAGCGGGGCAAAGGTCCACAGTCACTTCAAGGATGCCTCCCCAAATGCACTAACAACCCAACCCCAGCCACTAGTCCCCAGTTCCTAAAGGTTCTGCATCCACCGATAGTTCACCATCCTGGGGATCAAGCCTTTCACAGTGGACCTTGGGAAACACTATTCTCTTTAAACCATAGAAACCTGGTCCAAGTTCCCATTGTCTACCGGTATTTGGCCTATATTAAATAGCAAATCAGGGGGAAGAACAAGATTTTGAAAGTAACCAAGGACAAAAGGCCTGCTAATGATGGAGAAGTTTTCCTTACTTCTGCATACTCTCCACTTAAGACTTTTTAGGTGCATCTTTCATTTTTTTTTATTTTAGAGAAAATAGTACAAAAAAAAGAACAATAGCAAGGTACAAACAACACAAAGCCAGGACCTTAAGAGTGATACAGGGTTTCAAACCAAATGATAGAGATTAACAGTGGTTGTTATATTACATAGTGTTATCTTCAACAAAGTTGCTCAGATCAGGTACATCTTTCATACAGCAAGTCAACCCTGGGCTGGAGGCCAGGAGGTCAAATCAACATGGCTGCCAGAGCCTGATTTTTGTGCTTGGAAGTACCCCATACAGATCCTTCTATAGGTTACAAACTTGGTGCAGAAAAATTTATTTGCCCACAAAATCCTTCTTAGTAAATACATTTTATAGTCACCCTAGATAGGAGAGACTGTTCTTATCTCTAAAAAATGTAATCTGCTATTCTTTAAATGTAATCTGCTATTCTTTAAAATTCTTTAAAAATGTAATCTGCTAATCTTTCTCTAAAATAGTATACAAGGAAGGGTGAAAAATGTATACTAAAACTAAATTACCTAAAATTATCTGTTCCTTTGGGAATATGTTCCTTTTAGGAAGAAATATTTGCTTCATTGTCATTTGTCTCAAAACTTCTTTGGTGCTTTATAAACGCTTTTTTAAAATTTTAGCCCTGTTCCAATTGGGCCTGACCAAGTCTTACTACGAGGGACACAACTAAGAAATACTCAGTGGATAATTGGCATAGTTGTTTACACTGGATTTGAAAGCAAACTCATGCAGGTAAAATCATGTGTGATGACAAACAACACTGGTTAGATTTTTCCTTGTGATTTTATGAAGAGAGTTTTAATGCATCATTTTTGAGTTCAGAAGGAACTTTCCTGGTTCACCTCTCATTTCAGATATTTATTCTGACTTTTAACATTATTTTTTACCCACCATTGATTACCTAAAACACAAAATCCTGTGTGTACACTATAAGGGTTCTTTTTTTTTGTCTTTTGTGTATATGTATGCCCATGTGTGCTACTCTTCAGAATGCTGTCAAGTCACTGCTCAAGAGGTCAAAGGTTGAGAAAGTGACCAACGTGCAGATTCTTGCTTTGCTCTTGCTGCTCCTGGCCATGTCCCTGGTGAGCTTTGTGGGCTCTCTGTTCTGGGATAGAGCAAACCGTGCAGGCATGTGGTACCTAAGCAAGGAGGGTAAGTGTCAGGGGATGGCGGGAGGCTGCCACTTGTGGGAGTTGTGATGTTTTTAAAGGTGACTTCAAAGACTGGTTTTGTTTAAAATGAAGAGCAGTTATTCTATTTTTCTTCTGAGAAACTGATTATAAATTAGTATTAGAGACAGAATATCCCCTTCTCAAGATATCAAAAATTATTTTCATGAATAAGTAACAATTGTATATATTTATGGACTAGAGTATGATGTTCTGATTTATGTATACACTGTGGACTGACTTAAGCAAATTAATTAATACATCCATTTCTTCACATATGTATCACTTTCTCATGCTGAGTACATTAAAAACTACTCCTTTTAAAACTGTGATTAGTACATGTTTGCAGTACCTGAGGATTACATTTATTGTAGAGGATTGGTATATGTATATCACATTTCAATTCTTTTTCCCCTTTTCCCTACCCTACTCTTATTTTTACAGCATCAGACTTATTTTTAAGAACTTACAATGTTAATATCATTTTTGAGATTGAAAACCAGACTAATAGGCCAAAGAACATATCAGACATGTCAGACAATTGTAATAGGTCAAGGTACACTTTCAGATATATTGACCATGCTAGATTAAAAACTACTCTTTTAGGAGTTCTCAAATACACATTTAATGACTGCCATCACACATCAGTACATCTCCACCCAAACTTGTTCCTCCTGTCAACCCAAACTTTATATTTTTAGCTAGCATGTCTCTATTTCATCACTCCCCGTTACCTCCCAACTGCCATTCCACACTTTACGTCAGTGAGTGACTTATTAGATTCTACACATATGTCAGATCATGCAGTGTTTGCTTTTCTGTGATTTCACTTAACATAATGTCCTTCCATTTATCCATGGTTTTTGAAAATGGCAAGATTTCCATCATAAGGCTGAATAGTTCTGTGTGTGCTGTGTGTGTGAGTGTGTGTGTGTGAGAGAGAGAGAAAGAGACTGAACAATGTTATAATTGCACTTTCAGAAATTAATAAATTTGGCAAAGCAGCAAAATTTTTGGTTTCTCTACCCAAAAAATGGGTCATTGTCATATTTACCTCTGGTTTTCTTCAAAGATTGACTTAGAGACAAAGTTTAAAAGTATAATCATGGCATGTAGGAGAAAGTTAGTAAATTCAAGATGATAGAGTTTGAATAGCTGTAACAGTGAATTGAACTTGGCTTTTAAGTTGATGGAATTTAGAAATCTAAATTCAGCTCCTAATGTCCTAGATTACAGGTATGCCTTCTTTCCTTCTAAAATGTTAGGAAATTTTCACTTACAAATTAAAATAACTTAATTTTGCTTCATTTTATGGGTTTGTTTTTAATAAAATGTGTCCTCTTTACAAAATAATTTGTGCTTAGTTCTTTTCAGTTATACTCAAGGTAACACAAATTTAACATGGAAGGTTGAGGTGCATGTTTAACAGTGCATATAGGTTTAATAATACAAGTTGATATTAAGATTATATATGCTTTGCAGAAAGTCATATATGTGTGTATATAACCACCAAATATTTTCTAAATACTCTAAAGCCACTTTGTATAAAATATGGGAAAATTACAATGGAAAATTACTGTCTCAAACATACTTGCCTTTTTAAAAATTGGATTTTATAAAGCATCACATTTATCTCTTTTTCGGTCTTACTTTCCTACTTCCCTTGAGTTTCAAAAATAATAACTGTAATACATGTGCATATTTACACATGCAGGGGCTGGTGCCTTAGCTCAGTGGCACAGTGCCTGCCTGGCAAGCGTGAGGTCATGAGTTCGGTTCCCGGTATCACATACACACACAGAAAGTACATGTGCATACGCATTTAGTTTTTGCCTTGCTATTTCACACCTCTGACTTCACATCCACTTTATTTCCAGGCACAAAGCCCCTTCGTTCCCTTCCTCCCACTGTCTGCATTCAGCAAACCTCCCTCACTTTCAAACTTTGCTCACCATCTTTTCTGAGACTCCGAAGGGGCTCCTCTCTGCGGCATTTGTCACCATGGTTATTGCTCAGTGCCACCATGGAACGCCTTGCGCCATCATCTTTCAGGTGTTATTTTTCATTAGTGTGTGTTTGTAGCACATAAGGATTACTTTACTTGGGGGTGGGTGCGTGCACATAACATACCTCAATTTTTTTCATCTCCTTTCTTTCCCTTCCCCCACCTCCATGTCTTGATCCCTTTACCATTTGAGAAAGATCCACCTCCATTCTTCCTATTATCTTTTTATTTTGCTCTTTATTTATACTTTGGACTTTTCACATAAGAGAAACCTTTTGCTATTTAAGCCAATGTATTTGATTTATTTCACTTAACCTTACGGTCTCAAGGGGCGTCCATTTTCTCAGAAATGACTCAAGTTTATCTTTCCTTATGGAAGAGGAGCATCCCCACATTTCCTTTATCCACTCACCTGTTGATGGACATACAGGCCACTTTCAAGAGTTACTGTACTGAATTATGTTGCTATAAGTGTAGGCATGTGTGTGACACTGTAATATGATGTCTCTAATTCTTTTGGGAAGATACCTAGAAGGGGAAGAGCTGGGTGAAATGGAATTTCTAGTTTTAGTTTTTTGAGCAATCTCTATACTGTACTGATTTCTATAATGTTTACTATTTTACATTCCCAACAACAATGTCAGCAGTTTCCTTTTTCCCTGTAGCCCTGCCAGCATTTGTTATTATAAAATTTCTTGATGATGGCCATTCTTTTTGGCTCAGGTGCACTCTCAGTGTTGTTTAATTTTCATTTCTCTAATGGCCAGTTATGTTGAACATTTCTTATGTATTTAGAGGACATTTATACTTCTTCTGAGAAGTGTCTATTCATTTTAGGAGCTCATTTGTTGACTGGGTCTTTTATTTTGTGGGATCTAATTTTTTGAGTTCTTTGTATGCTAGATGTTCGCACTCTTTCTGAGAAATAGCTGGCAACTTTTTTTCCCATTCTGTAAGTTATCTCTTTGCTCTGTTGTTTCCATGAAGAAGTCTTTTATTTTGACCTGATCCTATTTGCTGGCTTTTGGTACCACTGGGGTTCGTTCTTGATGACACTTTACAGACGCAGGTTCCTTCCTCAAGATGCACCCTCAGTTCCCTGAGAGGAGGGTGTGCATCTTACCCAGTCTTGCATCTTAGTGCTTCCTGAATTTCTTTTTACATGCCTCATGTTTAATTGATTTTTTAAAGAAATTATAAAAATCTGGGTCTACTTTTAGTAAACATTTTGATGTGGATCCCATAATTCTGACAATGTGATAATGCATACAGAGATGAACTAAGCTATCACCTAAACCTGTGACATGGTTCCTCTGATTTTCTTCCACAGGTGGAAAGTCCAGTTCATTTGGTTTTGACATACTGGTGTTCATCATCTTGTACCACAATCTCATTCCCATCAGTCTGCTGGTAACTCTGGAAATTGTGAAATTTATTCAGGCTCAGTTTATAAACTGGGTGAGTATTAAAGTAAAAAAAAAATTTCTTTTTTTTAAAAATAGCTCACAGCCAAGCAACATACGTAGATCTTTATTTAATTTTTAATTTTTATTAGTATATGTTTGCACTGTATAATGTTTACATTTTCTGGTGTGGAGCTGGTACATGTACATAACACATCTTAATCCCTTTTTTTCATCTACTTTCCCTTCCCTCTCTTTCTTTTCCTTCTATCTTTTGATCCCATCCCCAATTGAGAAAGATCTATCTCTCTATCTCCTATTATTTATCTTTTATTTTATTCTTTTTTTTACTCTGCTGTTCTCATAGAAGAGAAATTATGCACTATTTAAGCTTACATGTCTGCTTTATATCACTTAAATGTTACAGTCTCAAGGTGCATCCATTTTTCTAAAAATGACTCAAGTTTATTATTCTTTATGGCAGACTAGTACTCCATTGGGTGTTAAAACCACATTTTCTTTTTTTTTATTTTAGAAATAAAAGGAGGAAAATACTAACAGACTGACAACATTTTACAAAATAGCA